TTAATGTTTTAAGATATTACGATTGTAGCGGTGCAATCATTCTTTTTAGATTCTGCCAAACTATCGGTTGGCTTTTGCGTAAAATCTGGAGCTCCTAAATCGGTACACTATTTACCCATACCCACTCCGAACGAGGCTCTAATCTACAGCGATATTGAGGAGGTAGTTTCATGGATGCAAGCTACGGTTGAGTTGGGCCGTATCGTTCGCACGCGCATTAACATTCCACTCAAGGCTCCGTTGCGCGAGGCGATTGTGGTACATTTGGACGCCGACGTTCGAAACAAGATTGAATCAGCCAAGCAATATATCATTGAGGTTTGTCATCCTTTTTTTGCTTTCCACTGAAGCTCTTTATACAAACTTATTTATTATTTATTGCTTATCATACCGCTCTCGCGTCTGTGTTATTACTTTCCTGTCGATGTTTATTTATATCCCCGTAGCCTAAAGATACCGAGCTTGTCTTGCAATCTGACGTCGCGGCTTCGAGCCTGCGTAGGGGCAGGGCGGCCCTCGCAGTATCCTTAGTCCACGTGCGACCGATGGTGGCTGCGCGGCAGTAAAGCGTCGGTACGCAGTACCGACGTACTGCTAATGCCTTTCTTTCCTTTTTCTTTTCTGCCCCCCGCCCATACGCATGCTCCTCAATATGAAACGTTCACACACTTGGTGTGTGATTAAGTGTGTTGGGAATATCATCCTTGTCAAGTATTAGCTCTCCCTATAGACAGCATTTTTCCCCTAAATTTATAAATGGACTTTAAATCTCCATATAAAGTTAACAGCGTTTCTTCCACCAAATTATTCATAATTTGTAGGTTGCCCCCAAATTTTACATATAATTTTTTTCGTTTTTCGCATTAGTCCACTTTTACATCTGTTCTTTCCTGTCCATGCTCGGTTTGTTTGTCACTTCATTGGCTCCTTACAATAAAATGAATAGGCCAATTTTGAGAATTTTGGAGTTTATATTTATTTCGGCATTACTCTCCACAATCCGTTTCTTCCTCGTTGCATATTAATAGCCCAAGCTGCGCCTCTCTCTTTTATAACTTAAGAAAATTGGCCGATTGCGTTATGACCCCCGTTCAATTTTACATTACTCGCTTGCTCTCGACAACATAAGATATCCAATAGGTCCATGTCTGGATTTGCCTCCCTCCTGCATTGTCACGTCGACTAGTGACGAGACGTTAGCAACTAAACTGCTCAGTTGGGCTAACACCACAATAACTGCACGATCAATCTGGTCTGCCATCATTTTCTCTAGGTTTCAGATTATGTTTACTGCTTTATTTCCCGATAGCACGAGATGTAGCCAACTGCTGGAGATCTGACGAAACATTGCACTTTGTTGCGTTAACACCGTTGTAAAAACTGTCTAATACGATTCATAAAGTTTACCCGCATAGTTATTGTCTGCCGGCATGGGGGCCGTTTCCCATCGACGAAACGTTTTTCGTTCGATCAGTCACTACCACAGAAATCACTAAAAGGGATGATTGGTTTAATCAAATAAGTCAGTCTTTAGAACCAGTAACTCTCTGCAGTCACGAGGTGAGCATGGGTATTTAGTTGTATATAAAATACAAGAGTTATCACAAGTTTTAGATATGCAGAGGTGAACAAACTTGCAGTAAAGATTGGCTGATATGAAATGTCCGACTATGTTTGCTTAATTAAAAGCAAATAGAGCGACTAGTGGATTTCTGTACATAGATAGGTTACATGAAGGTGTATCTGAACCGGCCTCCTTAAGCAGGTATTTGACGTACGATGAACCTTCCATATCTACTGGTAATCAGGATGAGGAGGAAACGTCCTATTTTATAACCGCTAGTATTCATGGTGACAACCACTTAGACTCTTAAGATGGTGATATGTGGTGTGTTATGGTGTCGCAAGTTCTAGATGTGTTTGCCGGGGTCATGTGAAACTAATTTCTTGTAAATCAAACGGAACCAGATTACAAATGTACTGAGAAAGTGGAGGTTAAAGAGACTCCCTAATGGGCCGAACAAAGTGATGTAATTTTATGCAGCGCGGCAGCGTTACAGAAGGAATGTTGGAGAACGTATTTTGAAAATGCAAAATACGGTTCTACAGTGCGCCTGTATGCCGTACCGACACTTTGCTGCCACGTGACCACCAGCTGTCGCGTGAGGGCTGGGTATCCCACGAGTTCGCCCGCTCCTATGCGGATTCCAATTTGCGACCTCAGGATTCCAACGCTGCGTGTAATCCTTTCAGCCACCAACCGACGTTTGGTTTTAAAGCTGTTGATGCAGTGGTGTGCGCGATTAGTTAGTCCATTTTCTACTCTAGGAAATACGACTATAGGTGACGGACCTCGACAAGAGGAACCGACTGCACCAGTGAGCGGATCGATGAACGAAATCAAATTTTAACTACCGTAACACATCGGTATTCTACACAGATGCCTTTTGAGTATTTTTACTGCAAGTAAAAGAAAGACAGATAACAGGTTCGCAGTACGAATCAAGGGCAAACAAATCTGCGGAGAGACTGATCAGTAACTGAACTCGGTTCTACTTTCTCTCAACTCACCAATGTTTTTCAATGCAAGTGCTTAGTTGTCTAACAGGATAGCGAGCACGCTGTTTGCGCTCTTTTAAATATCCCTTTGCCCTTGAAACATAGCTGCTCGATCGTTATTTGTCATCTAAAGTTTTACTGTACTTGACGGAGGGAATAATTGGTTTGTTATAGTTTCAAACCGACCAGTGGATTGCCTTGATCTTACTGAGTGCATCATTCGTTTTCATATCATTAAGTAGCATACGATGAAAAGTCTGCACATATTTGCGCTGGCTACTTTTGCTGAGTTAACATAAATTTCCTGTTCCTCAAGATATAGTCACTATCCTTCCTAAACTTCAGCTAGCAACCTGAGCTGTAGCTTAGGTTGTTTATGAGCTTTTAGGTGTTCTGTGATTGGCTCCCATTGTGGTATGTTACTGTTGACGATTCACCCACATGACTTTCAGTGAATGACAGCTGCAAACGTTACCTTAACGATAAATAACTATTGTTCTAATACCGCTGTTTTCTGTGTCATAATATTACTGATCGACTTACGTTCATTTTCTGTCACCCTACCACAGGAGCTGAATGTCCGCGTTCTCACTGTTACTGGAGACAAGGCAAAATACGGTGTGCAGCTGCGCTGTATACCTAATCATCGTGTCCTCGGTAACCGTCTCAAACAAGATTACAAGACAGTCATGGAAGCTTTAAAGAAACTGTCATCAGACGAATTGGACCATTTTGTTACGGTACGCTCTCTTCCATCGCTTCCCTTCCTTAATTTATTCTTTTCACGGCAACGCTTCTCAGTTCTCTGCTTACAATTGTGCCTCCTACTTCTCACCCATTGTTCTACACCTCGTATACTCCTTTCGACTAGACTGGTTGCATCAAAGTGTGCAACTACACGTTCAGTAAAGATGACTTGTCTGTCGTCTACGTTTCGGGGGAGGCTGTTGATCTAGATCCGACTGCATCAACAAAGCTTACCACGGGACAAGATCGCACTGGGGCGCAAAGCAAACTGCGCCATCAAACATCCGCTCCACTGCAACGTTACGAGGCCGCCTCGGGCTCTCATGGTTTACTGATTCTTCTCGATACCACCGCAGATCCCGATCTGGAAGATGAACGAATTGCCCGTGAGCTGGTAAATCGCATTCAGAGAACACGAAAGAAGGTAGGTTGTCCAGGTGTTTACATCAAATCATTTGTCATCTTGCTCTTTTGTCAGCTTCCCCCCTTTGTAAAGTACCGGGTGTCGGTCCCAGCATAAACTCCATCTGTCACTTGATCAGTATCACACATCAACAACCGCCATTAATTCTAACTCCACACTGCTTGTATTAGATCGCATCTTTTGTGGCATTGTGTTTGTTTAAGGAACGCATTGAAGAAATGTATTTTCATTCCAAATTCTCGGTGCCGATATTCATACTGCAACCGTCATCTAAGATCACTACGCCAAAAACGGTTCATCGGTACAGTTGATCACAGGGACAAACGGTTTATTCGACAAATAAATCTCAGCGAAAACAACAGCACTAGTGGTCTTTGGAAAGCAGCTTCCATAACTAACGATGCTACAGCGTTCATATGTTTCTTTCTTTGCATCGGTCAAACATACTCACTCCAGCACGGTCAAATCTTAATCAGTCAGCGTTCGTTTGCTTCAATCTAGCTGCTTGTCTCGTCATGTAAATATGTCTCGTAGTCAGTCGCATCAGTTTTGCAGAAAACTGCGCGCGATCTACCGCTCCGCGTAGTCTTTGCTGCCCTTACCGTTATAACTTCACCTCTAACTTTGCTTCAGGTTCGTGTTCTCATTCCTAGTTTCGCCTTAGCTGCACCCGGTTTCTTCTGATTATCTCCCCCCCCCCAGTGTTGACTTTATAGGCTCCTTCTCCGATCTTCGCGGACACGACATCTTCCTTCAATCGGTGGCGTACACCCGGTATTGCCTGAACCCACGCTTCCTCGTTTACTGATAGCTCGGGTAGAGCTCGGGTACCGCGGTCGTTTTTATTCCGTCACTCGTTTTATTAAACTCCTCTACAAGTCCTCTACGGGTCTTCATAAATGGCTCTAGCATTTGCTAATAGCTCGTTTAGCTTATTTGACTGCCGCCTCCATTTTTTTCCGTCCAACTAACTATGCTACTGGCTGATATACCAATTCGAAAATCCTAATTTGTTTGCAAATATCTGGGACGCAGGTTTTGCAAACTGTGGGCCATTGTGGAGACTAGTTTCCCTGGTTTTCCGTTTCCGGTAAACTGACTTCTGAGCCTATTGCTAGCTGCTTCCGTGGTGCTACTAGTAAGTGGGTCGATCTCCGAAAACGTTATAGTAGTCCACTGTTGTTATATAGTCTCCCGTCGTCTCAGAATAAACCCTTCTTCCATGGTCGACCTGGAACCTCACGCAGCAACTTTGGTTCCCTGGTTTAGCGAGCTTCGTTAGACTTGCATGCTAAACAGATTGACACTTGCTCTCGTATCCAGGTCCTCAACAGTTCTCGTGTTCTGCTCATGTTGTAGCGTACACCCAGTAGGTCCGACGAGTGCGTTGCAACACTTCTTCGTGAGCGCATCCCGAGAGTTGCAGAAGAGTGATAATTCTTCCTGGAGTTTGTCCTTTGTATCTGGCTATCCTTTCGAAAACACGTCTTGCAACGCCACGCACATCTCGTCTGTCTCCGTATGTCGTCTTATTTCTTTCAGGTGCTCATTTATTACCATTAGATGCAGCAAATTTACTGCATGGATTTCTTCCTGTTGTTGTCCGACTGTTGGAAGATGAGCTCTCGACAGAGCTTTCGCGAGGAGAATCTGTTTCCACTGGGTGTACACAATATACATGTCGTATTTTTGGAGCCAGATACGCATGCGTTATAAACGTCGAGGGCTACTGTGCAACGGTTTACTGGCTATCGACACAAGCGGTTTGTGGTCATTGTACACTCTAGTCTTGCACCCAAGAGTGTAATCGTTGAATCGCTTCGTTTTCGGAGCTCGTTTTTCTCACGTTTATGCTTCATGTTCTTTTGCACGTAACACTTCATTTTAGCCTCCTGCTTCTGGTTGGGCAAGCCATAAATCCGCGCATCGTCTGCCACTTAAATCACACTGTCTGTACCATTTCCGAGTCATGTTAGACCATGGCGAAATCATTTTAGACCGTACAAATTGCGTCGTTACCATTTTCAAGTTAATCAATTCCGCACGTCGGCCAACGTGTGGTGTGGATTAACTTGCACCTCTAGTAACCATTTCTGAAACGTTTACGGTTGACCGAAATGGTAAACGTACCTTGCTAAGCCACAACACTTTAGTTGTGGCTTAGCACTTCAGTTGAAGCTTGCAGCCGTTCCACATGTGCAGGTCGCATACTGATTTTTTGTCACAGCTACGCCTTTGGTAGCAGGCGTCTCTGACTGAGAATGCACGATTTCGTCGCCAACTTGGATAGAGCTTCTTCTTCTGTCCCGTTCTAGAAATGTTGTTGATTGAATGCTCTGAGTCTGCGAATATTGTGTCACGATTGTGTGGCAGAAAGAAGAAAAAAAAGGCATCAGCAGTACGCCGGTACGCAGTACCGACGTTTCGCTGCCGCGTAACCACCACCAGTCGCACGTGGGCTAAGATACTGCGAGTGTCGTCCTGCCCCTACGCAGGCTCGAACTCCCGCCGCCAGATTACAAGACAAACTTGTTAGCTTTATGCTACGGGCCGGCATTGAGTACATACACCTTGGAAAGCTGGCAGTACCGAGCGTTACTTCGACCCCATCCCGGACATTGATCACGATCCTTAGAGTGTCCTGCGGTGCGGAGTTTGTAACTTTCCTTTGTCTTGGTTTAGGTTTCGCATTTTGATTAGACGAACTGGATACTGCACATAGCTCCGCATTAATCGATATTCGCATTCGCTGCTTGTGGTGTGCAGCTGAAGATCCATCATAGTATATAACAATTGCTCATCATCAACAGCAGTACATCTGCCATTTGAACTGATGCTTCGCTGCCATATAACCATAACAACCTACGGAACGACCAGTAATAAAAGCGAGAGAAGAAAGACTTACCGGAGAACCTTAATGCCCTGAACAAGCATTCAGGATCAAGGCGCCTACACCTTGTAAACAGCATACCACTACAAACAGCGGGCTATCGTGCAAAGGTAAGTTGGCATCGGCGTAATAGCTTCCTTGCGGCTTTCACTGCCCCACATCATAGTCAACCATTACCCTTCAGATAACTCAGCATCAAGCACACATTAAACAGGCAGTCTGACAAGGAGACGTCAGCAGCCGCGCCACAGGTGCTGACTGTGAGCCATGTCCTGTGAAGTCTCGAGCCAAGCACGAGACGAGTCACGTGGACTCCAGCCTGGAAGGCGAGACGAACCGGCGACATCCAGTTTGCTCGTCATCCCGCTGCCAAGCCGACTTTTGTCCACCTCGGGCCTTGCGCCAACCTACGTTTGACAGACAAAACAAGGCCATCCTCAATAAGCGGTGACCGGGTATATGTAGTACATGCCCAAGCCAATGAAACTTAGTGCTATCTTTTGTTCTAAGGAACTTGTTTGGGTATCATTGCCTAGCACTTGCTTACGCTTATCATTGTTACGGACACACTGGTGCTACCCTACACCAGGAATGCTCCGCAGACAGCGACGATCAAGGATTTGAAGGCGCCTCAGATTTCGGACCGAGGGGTCAAGTCTCACTTCCCTAGAGTGGCACGGCCTTCACTGTGGCCTAGTAAACATGACCTTTCAAACGGAAGGAAACCCCTTTCTGTCACCAAAGATGTCGCAGATTCAAGACGGCAGTTCTGACTTTTGCGATACTTGAACTGACTTTAGTTACTGTGCGCCCTTTGGATCCACCCTCTCGCTGAGAAGTCGAACGTGAGATCGGACTGTTGAAGTTGAACAAAACCGCGGGACCAGATGATCTTCCTCCAGCCCTCTTCAAATTCGGAGGCTCTGCTCTTATTGATGCTTTATATGAATTACTAGTGAAACTGTGGGAGCAGGAGACTGTCCCAACCGACTGGAACCGCTCCGTTATTGTTCCCATCTTCAAAGGCGGCTCGCTCTCGGAATGCGGCAACCATAGAGGGATCAGTCTGATCTCCATCGCCTTCAAATTACTAGCCTCCATAATTCTTCACAGACTGACTGGCGCTCGTGAAAGCCAGATTCGTGAGGAGCAAGCCGGGTTTCGTCGGGATCGTTGCTGCGTCGACCACATCTTCACCTTGCGTCAGTTGTTGGGGCACCGCCACACATATTGGCGGCCCACCGTTGTCGTGTTCCTCGACATCAAAGGTGCCTTCGATTCGGTTGATCGATGTGCCCTTTGGAATTGTCTACTCAGGAGAGGTGTGCCCAAGAAATATGTAAATATTATCCAAGCATTATATGCGCGTAGCACGGGCAGAGTGAGGGCTTACGGCAAGTTGTCGCTACCCTTTAATATCTCCAGCGGTGTGAGACAAGGATGCCCGCTGTCACCTCTCCTCTTCAACTTCGCTATTGACGAAGTCATGGAGATTGCATTTACAGGACATGACTTGGAAGGTGTGGAGGTATTCCCTGGAGAACGACTTCTTGACTTGGAGTATGCAGACGACATTGCCCTCATCAGTGACAGCTCCCAGACGTGTCAAACCGCGCTGGACAGATTAGCACTAGCTGTCAGCCGTTTCGGGCTTTGCTTTGCACCATCAAAGTGCAAAGCGTTCCTCCAGGATTGGCAGAGATCGCCTCCTGCGCTGACCCTTAGTGGGGATCAGCTGGAAGTCGTTCAGAAATTCAGCTACCTGGGAAGTTGAATCAGCGCCCTTGGGATTGAAGCGAGATCACGAACCGTATAGCGAAAGCTCGGGACGCTTTTGCTAACCTTCGCCAGCTATGGCGGCGGCGCGACATTACTCTCGCCCTGAAGGGTAGAGTGTACAATGCAGCGGCACGTTCCACCTTATTGTACTTTTGTGAAACCTGGCCCCTAAGGTCGGCGGACTTGAAGAGGCTAGTTACGTTTGACTATCAGTGCCTTCGCAGTTTGGCTCACATCTGGTGGGAACACCGCGTGAGTAACGAGCGTGTTCGACGCATTGTTTACGGCGCAGGAAAAGGATCTGAACCGCACAACACCGTTATTTCCCGCACCAGGCTCCGATGGCTCGGCCACGTGTTACGCATGCCAGCCCACCGACTCCCGAGACGTGCGTTGTTTGCTCACCGGGGATGTGGGTGGAAGAAGAGGAGGGGTGGCCAAGTGATGACTTGGTCCAGAGGAATGAAGTCCATCACTTCGGATCTAGCCTCGGTTGGAGCGTCTCGGCTCCCTGGTTGGGGTCCAAAAGACGGTGAACACGTTTGGCTGGATACACTTGCTGACATGGCGAGGAGCCGACCTCAGTGGCGTTCGTGCTGTGAGTTTCTTTGTCCCTCCCCATGCCTTTTAGTCTCCCCCTCCATCTACGATCTCATTTCCTAGGGTATAACATAATAAAAAATTTTCTTTTTGCCTAGTAGCTGGCTGGAAGCTTACCGGAACGATGCCTATCCGTTGCTGGTAGCTCAGCTGACATGCAACTGTTGTATCTATTTTTCCTTAGTGTATTGTGTTATATGTATGCATGTATGTATTTCTTTCATGTATTGCGGCACAATAGCGGAGGTGTTTTCCCACCTCTAGCTGATGTGTATAATGAATGAATGAAAT